GCAATTTTAAATTCACTAGGTCCACTGTGTGAAGTGGAAAGTCTCAAATACTATTTCACAGGAGATCTCTTCCCTAGTCATCATATTTCCATTCCTGATGATATGAAAGTGTACTGCTGGGTTCGGTCATAATATTGAGGAGTCCAATATGTCCAACACTGAGTTCTGGTAGTGCTACGGAGCTTCTTGTGTGAAATAAGCAAAGGTTGGGTCATGTATTGTATGTTCAGCATTCAGGGACGAGTCTGTGTCATATACAGAAATTACTTCAATCTGACCAGCTGAGACTCTGTCTAAGTTGCTTGCTTCTGTAATTGCTCTCTGTGAAACTGCAGCAGAAGCAAGGTAGCCAAGATTACAGCGCCTGACCCAACATGGCTGCTCAGCCACGTAAAAAAAAAAATGTAATTAAAAAAAAAAATGAATATACACAATTTAAAAAAAATATCATTATGATTTGTTAAATGTAGTACACTTTTAAATCTAAAAAGTGAATGTAACGGCTACCCCAGTTGGTGAGAGGGTATCAGCCGTTGTAGACATCCTTTTTCCTGGCAAGCTTCTGTTCAGTAATGGAGTTGCTTATTCCCATTCACTCAATCCCAGTAGAGAGCACGGCAGAACTATTAAAAGAGCTAGGTGATTAAGCTGCAGATTTCCTTCCAAGAACAAGACAAGACTACGTTTTGAAGGGTCAAGAAGAACTGAATTTTAATGGCAGGTACTCTCCTTTTATCCGATGCTTCCCATGCAAGGGAGCCACCCACATAATTATTACAGTAACCAATACAACACAAGGTACAACCCACACATCTCCTCCCCTTAGATAAGCGTTTAACATAATTAACAAGCACACATTTTTCCCCAAGTTTTGGATGTACTCCAAATATCTGGGGTATATTTATAAATCTGGTATCCCCTGCTAGCCCTAATCTAGGGGAGCAACATATTTAAAAATCACCCAGATCGGGTCAGGGGTTCGGGAGTTATGGAACTTTAAAGTTTTGACTGACCGCACAGGCACAATAGCCAAAAACAGTTCCATAAGTTTTGGCCTTGCGGTCGGTCTCCACTCGTGGATTAAAAGTCCCGAAATGCTTGCCGTCCGTGAATATCCTGAGGTTCGTTAGAATCCCCATGTTTAACTTATTCTGTCTACCGAAGGGTGGGACGTTTCTGTAGTTTCGGCACAAATTTATGGAAGCCTGGAGGTCTCAGCGGTGTTTGCCTAGTCGAGTGTCTGATTTTAGCTCCAGACACCCGACAGCAAAACACCGCTGTTCGGGAGTTTAAGATGGCCGCTGCCACGTGTAAAACTCCTGAAATGGCGGCCATCCAGGGACTTAAACAGAGCGTTCGAGGTTTTCAATATGACTGTATTAGCCAAACAGGGAGGTAAATTGAAGCACAATTAGGTATCAGGGTGGTCTGGTGTTCGGTAGGTTTCCTTCGTACGATGAATGCAGTGTCAATATAGTTTCGGTGAAAACAATTAAACAAATGCTTTAATCTACCGAAAGTCTTTAGAGAAACTCTACACGAAAGCAGGTAGAACATACAATTTTCAGACAGCTTGATGTCCTTTGCTGGATAAGAGGTATATATATAATCCGTGGTCTCTGTTACTTGATATGTACCGGGCTAGTTCTTAAAGGGCCAGTAATGTCATATACGAACAGTCTTTGTATTTATGTGCAGGGTAAAGTGGGAAAAGGCAAGAAAATGGTGGATGTTCCCAGACACATTGTAGGGATTTGTTACAGTGAACATTTGATGACAGTTGTCCTCTAAGTAAATTTAGGTTTAAAGAGAATATAGTGTGTGTTCTGGCTGGGCCTGTGGACATACTATGCACCAACGAACGCTGATATATGTGGTGTAAACTAACAATGCACTACTGGATAAAGTACATTTCTTTTTAGATGACGCATATAAAAATAATACATAAGAAACATGAAATCATAATGGCATTTTCTATACTAAAGAAACCAATAAACAAAGATTGTTTTTCACACGGGCAAAACAAGCACAATATAGAATAAATATATTACATTTACAGAATAATCGAATGTGTACAAGCAATATTTTTACAAAATCTGTCCAAAACCCAAATAATCTGTAGTCTGCATTATCTCCCCTATCCCAGTTTTTAGATCAATTTCTACAAAATCTTGTTAAAAAATGTCCCTCATATCTTAAAGACACAATGTCACTTTTACAAATTTTAAATAATTTTAAATGGGAAGATGGACTAATTTTGGTTACCTGTGATGTCAGCAGCCTCTATACCATTATAGACCATGAGAAAGGTTGCGAGGCAGCTAGACACTTTTTAAATAAAGAAAATGATTTGGACCCTCGACAGATAGATTTTATTATAGAGGGTATTCAAATGATTCTTTTTAATAATTTCTTTTGGTTCGAGAATAATTTTTACTTGCAAACCAAGGGAACAGCTATGGGGACCAGATTTGCCCCAAGTTATGCGTACCTCTTTATGGCATTTTGGGAGGAACATCAAGTTTTTTCCAGGCCAGAAGTTGGGGCAAGTCTGGTCCTCTATAGACGATATATAGATGATATTTTTATAATATGGAGAGGTACCCAGGATTCCCTTTTAAGTTTTTTAAATGATCTTAATCAAAATAGTTGGAATATTAATTTAACATATGAGATGAGTACTCAGAGTGTCAATTTTTTAGACTTAAGCATTTATATTGAAGATAATCAAATTAAAAGTAAAACTTTTTTTAAATTAGTAGATGTAAATAGTTTTATCAATTTAAAAAGTTGTCATTTCAAACCATGGTTAACTAATATACCTAAAGGACAATTTTTAAGAGTAAAACGTAATTGTACAGACATTCAACAATATGAAGAATAGACACAGATTTTAATAAATCAATTAGTAGAAAAAGGTTATAATCAAAATACTTTAGAAACGATAAAAGAAGAAGTAGGACAGCAAACTAGGGAAAATATTTTAAAATATAAAGAAAAAGGATTAAAAGAGGATGACACAATTATACCTATTATTTTTAATTATAGTTCAAATAGTAAGCAACTACAAAAAATAATTAGGAAAAATTGGCATATTTTAGAACAAGATCAGGAAATACAACAATATTTAGGAGCCAAACCTAAAGTTATTTTTAGAGGAGCAAAAAGTTTTAAACAAGTTTTAACCTCAAGTTTTTTAGAAAAAGATAAGAATTTACAATTTTTAACTATGTTTAAAAGAGATAATGGTTTTTATTATTGTGGAACTTGTAAAGGTTGTATGTCAAGAAACCACAAAAATAAAAATGTCAGCAAATTCTATTCCTTTCATAATAAGAAATTATATGACATAAAATCTTTTATAACCTGCAATTCTAAGAATATAATTTATATGATTATTTGTCCTTGTGGATATCAATATATTGGGAGAACCTCGAGACAACTTAAAATACGAATTAGAGAGCATATTTATAATATTAAGAGAAAATATACTTTACATAATGTATCTAAACATTTTTTAGAAGTCCATGGAGGAAATATACAAGGTTTTGATTTTATGGGGATAGAATCTGTTAAAATTCATTGGAGGGGAGGAAATACAAAAAACCTCCTTAACAAAACTGAAATGAAATGGATTTTTAATATGGAGACTTTGTCTCCATATGGTCTTAATATAGATTTTGAGGTTAATTCATATTTATAAAAAAAGAAATTTTTAAGGAAATTTTAAAAATTAAATTTTTTTTAGAAAATTCTTTTTATTTATATAGGGTATATTTTTATGTGTGTATTTATAAGTTTATCTGGATTTTTATTAATTTAAATATAGATATGTTTTAATATGTATAATGTGCTGTTAAGGCTATTTCCTCATGTTAAACAATATATTAATGTTTTTAATTTCTTCTTGATTTATATGGGCACTATTTTTCCTCGGTTCGATGATTTTATGTGGAGAATATGTATTTTTTCGTGACTATGCCAGAGAGAACTGGGAAATATGAACAGTTAGAGGAATAAAAATGGCATCGATAATACTTCCGGTATACAATGCCGGGATGACGTCATGACTTGCGGGACACGTCCATCGACGCTTGATGACGAAAGCGGAGATAAAGAGAGACGGAGAGCGCGGGAAAGAGCGTTAATTTTACATAGTATAAAGGGGCGACTCGGAGATGGACCTGTAATACCACTTGAGAAAGGCTTCTTTGCCGAAACGCGTCGTGGTACTTTATATGGACTTAAGTTTACTTGTATTTGATTTTTTATTGTTTTTTGAACCTTGAGCAAATAAAAGTTTTAATGAGATTTAATGAGATCCGGTATCCTGGAATATTTTGAAGTTGACATCCAGAGATCGCCAGAGACAACTCATTCCTATTCTGCATATCAATACAAGGTGTCCAGTATTAAAGGTTTCATCTCTAATCAAAGCCCTTAGTCTGAGTCAGCTTATATAAGTGACTCAGAAGCATGTGAGTGCAACTAATTATATATGGTTATTGTATACAGTGTAAACAATATTACCCTATGTTCTCTTTTCTCTTCTCCCTTTTTTATGTTTTAGCTATTTACCTAAGGAAATACTGGTAATATAGTTTTTTGCATGTATAGTGTGCTCTCACTATTTTATTATTATTTCTTATGCACTTTGATTTTGTGTGGTTGAGTGATTCACACTTAGTGATAGTAGCACCATTTATTACTGTTTTTCCCATATTCTTTATATTATGTAGTCTGCAATCTGTCATTTGAGTGTATTTATTGTGCTTATTGTTTTTTGAGGCTAAAGCTTACATTTGTCCACTGAAAGGGAAGTTTAAAGAACCAAAACAAGCTAAATCTGTTTTCATAGGACATATTTCTGTACTGTAGGACTGCCAGACAATGTGATAACGTATAACTCACTTTCTAGCTGTATGAGAAAAGAGATCAGCTGTAACAAATTAAGTAAAGGATTCTACAATGCAAAAAAAAAGAATAAAAAACATAGCAAATACATTTTTAAAAACGTAATTCTTATTTATTACATTACATGGAGTAATTTAGAACATTTCTTAGAAACAGATTTTCATTTTTCCTCATTATTATCTATTAACTGCACGCATGGACTGTATGTATCTGATTTGTGCCAAAAACCACGCACACACACACACACACACACTCTCTCTCTCTCTCCTATTTATATTTATATTTCAGAAAAAACAGGTAATACATGCCAAAAGAGATTGTTGGACAAAACCGTTGACAATGGAAGCGGTGTACATGAGCAGATCAATTGTACTCCATGGTAAATTTAAAATTTTGCTCCACAATTCCACAATTTTACTCCCAGAGAAAGTCTTATATATGTCACCCATAAATGTTTATTCACCAAATCAGGAATAGTGGGCACTTTGCAAATTCTAGTACAAAATAACGAAATTGGAAACATTCTCAAAAAGTTGCCTTTTTTTTTTTTCAATACAGGTACTTTGACCTAAAATTTGAAATCCCATTGTAAATTCTCCACAATTCAAAGCTAAGTGAAAAAGACACAATGATGCTTACCGTGTTTCCCCGAAAATAAACCCTACCCCGAAAATAAGCCCTAGTCGGATTTTCGGGGTGGGCTGCAATATAAGCCCTACCCCGAAAATAAGACCTAGGCATTGTACCTTTGCGGCGAGACTTCCTTCTTCTACTGTAGGAGGAGCGTGGCAACGTGATGACGACATTTTGCAGCGCCGTCAGTCTGCCTTCACGGATCTTCAGCGGAAGGATCCATTTCCGGGCGGTGAGGCTCCCAGTGGTCGGACTCGGCAAGGAATCTTTGAAATGTGAGTACCGCTAGATATTTTATGTCTGGGATTAATTGAATTAATTAAAGGGGGTGGGGGGGTGAATTAATTAAAGGGTGGGCTGGATTAATTAGAGGGGGGTGAATTAATTAAAGGGTGGGCTGGATTAATTAGAGGGGGGTGAATTAATTAAAGGGGGGTGAATTAATTAAAGGGGGGTGAATTAATTAAAGGGTGGACTGGATTAATTAGAGGGGGTGAATTAATTAAAGGGGTGGTGAATTAATTAAAGGGTGGGCTGGATTAATTAGAGGGGGTGAATTAATTAAAGGGGTGGTGAATTAATTAAAGGGTGGGCTGGATTAATTAGAGGGGGGTGAATTAATTAAAGGGGTGGTGAATTAATTAAAGGGTGGGCTGGATTAATTAGAGGGGGTGAATTAATTAAAGGGGTGGTGAATTAATTAAAGGGTGGGCTGGATTAATTAGAGGGGGTGAATTAATTAAAGGGGGGTGAATTAATTAAAGGATGGACTGGATTAATTAGAGGGGGTGAATTAATTAAAGGGGTGGTGAATTAATTAAAGGGTGGGCTGGATTAATTAGAGGGGGGTGAATTAATTAAAGGGGGGTGAATTAATTAAAGTGTGGGCTGGATTAATTAGAGGGGGGTGAATTAATTAAAGGGGGGTGAATTAATTAAAGTGTGGGCTGGATTAATTAGAGGGGGGTGAATTAATTAAGGGGTGGTGAATTAATTAAAGGGTGGGCTGGATTAATTAGAGGGGGGTGAATTAATTAACGGGGGGTGAATTAATTAAAGGGTGGGCTGGATTAATTAGAGGGGGGTGGATTTATTAAAGGGGGGGTGGATTAATTAAAGGGGGGGTTCAATGTACATACCGGTACCGTAAATAAATAAGCCCTACCCTGAAAATAAGCCCTAGTGTGTTTTTTGTGACTAAAATTAATATAAGACCCGGTCTTATTTTCGGAGAAACACGGTAATATCTACAGCATGAGAATTCAAGAGCCATGAATTTTCTCACATGTAATTGGTAGGTAACATCAGGGATTGTATTACTGGGCCATCTGCACCACCACAGCCTTCCACGCTTTGTCTTTGTCAAACTCCCTCACGGAATTGCTGGTTACCTAGGAAAAAAGTCATATTTTTGTTGAATAGTCTTAGTTTTACCAACCAGTTATTTATTATGCAATATAATTTATTGGGGATTTATAAAAATGTTATAAACAAAAATGATGGTCAAAGGTCTATCATCATAAAACAGTAGAAATGCATCATTTGGCTTCCATGGAGAGTGACAAACTTTTAAAACTCTGTCTCATGTTTCTGTGTGGTTCACTTTTAGAAACCTCCCACCCCACACTGTTTGAAAGGACGTTTACCATTTACATCCTATTTTTCTATGTAAAAAACTGACTTTACCTACATCATTTTAACTTACATCATCTTAACCTTGAAACTAATTGAATGGAGAATTGAGGGTTGCCCATACAGTTTTTTTGTCACTTACAGTACGGTTAATGGAGCAGACTGCTTCCACCCAACTAATGAAGGAAAAATTCTTAAGTACAAAATGGCTATCAAATTTCAGTTTTCAAATGACCTATACTTTCCTTCTTGAATTTTTTTGTCATAAGCAAATTTTAGGGTCATGGTATGTCTTGACAGCTTATTAGGCCATTCCTTACAACAGATCTTAAGAAGGAAATTGCTGCTTCACATCCAATAAATTCAGGGATTTGTGGGATAAATGTGACTCTAGAATCAAAATAAGAGGCTTCTGATTTGTGGAACATATTCTTGGTCAGGGAGAGGCTCCCTCCTGCAGCTTCTGATTTGTAGATGGGCAACAGCTGCAGGAACATTAAAAATATCTTTTTTTTTTCTGCACTTTTTTTATCTACATTATACATTAAAAGATCGTGATCACTTCCAACGTGGAGGGTACCTTTAAAATAATATTAAAGCTAGATTAAATTTCTACTTCTTTAATACAAGCAAAAAAAAAGAAAAGGAACATCAGTCTATTTTATATACATTGAGCGATCTGTCACAGAAGGCTTACAAATATTAAGTCAACTGTAATCCTATCTGTACGTCCCATATCCTGGTCTTACCAGTTTCATTAAACCATAAACTATCTCTTGACATAACTATAGGAGGGGGTTGGATAAACATACACAGGTAGCATCATGTCTTGATTCAGTAGGATACGTTTATATTGCATGCCTCTCCTAAAGGAAGATTGTTTCAAACAACACAAGGATGAGAGGGGCTGCCAAGTCTTTGTTCTATATAAAGGGTATTAGTTGCAATATAATTGCTTTTCTGTTGATAACGTACTCACATCATTATTTCGGTAATCTGGCTTGGTCAAAGTTGAAAGGTTCCAGGATGAATGGAGCAATGTCATTTGTGATTTGTAATGTACACACTGCACTACTGTGATACTCGTAAGAATCGCTTGTACCAGCAAGATCAGCATTAGAAGAAGCAGCAGAAGATCGTGAAAATGCTAAAGAGATTTTTAAAAAAGACGATTAAAGGGAATATAGAATTTCACAAGATCCTCTTAATATCACGATTGCTCTTTAAATAAACTTCTAAGTAAGCCCTATTATAAAATAGTGTATGACACATGAAAGCACACAGGGTAATATCATACGTGTAAAAATGTCCTTACTGTGATAGAAGACAAAGAAATGTGTGCACTGCCTCAGTCAACAAAGAACTCTGCTTACATTACATGTATGATCTATCATGCCACCACTGCATAGAAAATATTGGCAGAATTACTAGAAAATAAATGGTCCCTCTATGCATCATTACCACTACAGCTTATTGTAGAGGTTATGGTACAAAGAGGCTATGGATGGAGGCTGCAGCATTAGTTTCTTTGTACCATAACCACTTTAACAAGTTGCAGTGGGTATTGTGTCTGTTGTGTCCCTTTAAAAGTAAAAAGCAAAATGGATTTAAAAACATTGTATGGCTTGGCGTTGAGAATATTGATTTGGAGCAATAAATTATTTCTTCATTTTTATTATTGTTATTATTAAAATAAAAAAGATTTATTTAAATATTTATATATTTTAAACGTAAACTTTGACCCTGTACCTCACAGTCAGCAGACACATTCCAGCCAATCAGCAGCAGACCCTCCCTCCCAGACCCTCCCACCTCCTGGACAGCATTCATTTTACATTCATTGTGAAGCTGCATTCTTAGTGAGGAGGTAGGAGGGTCTGGGAGGGAGGGTCTGCTGATGATTGGCTGGAATGTGTCTGCTGACTGTGAGGTACAGGGTCAAAGTTTACTCAATGATGAGTCCGTGGCGAACCGTTCGGCGAACCGTTCGCGAACCGTTCGGGACATCACTAATGTTCAATACAAAAAAAAACACACAAAATAATGGCAGACAGTATAGTTTTTGGACAATTTTCGAAGCGGATTTTTGAATGATGCATCATGAAAATGACTATTCGGAACAGTAAGTATTGGATACATCTATTTATACATTTATATTATTCTTCAAAAGTATTGTCGAGTAGTGAAAATAATCAATGATAGAAAGTGTTGAGCCCTCTCAAAGGGGCAGAGGTTTAATTGGTAATTGGTAAAGAGTATATTTGCAATTAACGTACATTGTTATTTACTAATGTTAGAATTGTGAGGAACTCAAAACTAATTTCAAATTTAACACAGAAGCAGCCGAAACATTCTCTAAGTCAGATATGATTCCAGTTCATCTACCATGGTCTTAAATTGGAAATTCACTTTGAATAACCCACAATTGTCACTATAGTAACTATAATAAATATAATATAAATATAATTTAATATAATAAATAACAGTCTTGTTGCCATCACATTTGCTAAACCTAACCGTGCATCCTGCCAGCTGCAATTGCCAGTGAATGTTAATGTTCATATAAAATGCAGTACTTACATTCACAGCTGGGGGGTAGACTCTAAACATGTCGATAGTTTTCATTATGCTGAAAGACAGGTAGGCTGACGTAGTAGACAGTAATGGAGAGGTTATGCTGCTAGTGGCAATCAGGACTTCCACCTACACCGCAGAGTCAGTATTAGTATTTTTTTAGGCATCATTTAAATGTACACATTTTCATTTAGTTCAATATAAGCAATGTTTATGTAAAACTGAAATTATCTTCTACTAACTAAGCAATGTTTACATTTATAGGAATTTGATGTAAATCAAAAGAAAACATCAGAACTGGCCAGACGTCCAAAACATGCCAATAAAAAATTTCTCACAGTGAAAGGGTTAAAGAAGGGTGTTAGGGAGGAAAACAATTTGGATAAGGTTGTGGGGAGTTTAAATGCATTGCATTTTACGTTATTTCTTATTTTTTAAATGTTGCAAAAATCTGTCTTTGTTATTCCTGCTTATTAAATGAACAGTTTAGTGTTAGCAATATAATGTGTGTATTCCTAACACTAAAGTGTCCCTCTGCCCCCACCCCCATTCCATTAAAAAAGTTTTATTCACTTACAAGAATCAGCGCCGATGTCTCTTGGCACTTGGTTAGGGTCCTCCTCCACCAACGTCAGCCAGTGGTGGAACATAATGTGCATGCACTGCAGAGGCCACACGTGCATTA